TAGATTTGCAAAAAAACATTTAATTTTTTTTTAAAAAAATGCTTAAATTTAAAAAAATATCATTCGAGACCTTTCAAAACATCGTGCTACAAAACAAAGTTGGGGAGACTTAAAAAGTGTCAGATTTACTGGATTAAAAAAAAATTAGACTTGCAAAAAACATTTAAAAATTTCTTAAAAAAATGCTTGAATTTAAAAAAATATCATTCGAGACGTTTCAAAACATCGTGCTACAAAAGACAGTTGGGGAGACTAAGAAAGTGTCAGATGTACTAAATTAAAAAAAAATTAGACTTACAAAAAACGTTTAAAAATTTCTTAAAGAAATGCTTAGATTAAAAAAAAATGTTAATGAGACATTTCAAAACATCGTGCTAAAAAAGACAGTTAGGGAGACTAAGAAAGTGTCAGATGTACTGAATTAAAAAATTTCTAGACTTGCAAAAACATTTTTTTTTAATTTCAGTTTTGCTTTAAGAAATTTTTAAATGTTTAATTTTAACATTAAACAGAGTTACAATTTAGGATAAAAGTATCTTTGTTTCCTCTTTTAATAGTCTGTAACAAAAAAACTTGGAAAGTTATTTTTCCAATAGAAATAAATAGTCAAAGTGCAAAATTTTGAAATTGTGCGAGATAGAATATTTTAAACATTTTTCCATGTTCCGGGTATCTTACCTCACATGGGGCGCAAGTTCTGACGCAATCTGTATACAATGTAAAAAGTAATGAAGTCAAGCTGTAACTTGCCAAGAGATGTTAGTTGGTAAAAACCCTAAAATACGTCAACTTTTAATTTAAAAAATCCAAAATTTCGAGATTAATTCCCTCTACTTTCCATAGCCCCCTCCAATGTTTTTTAAATGGCAACCTACCTCTTGTCATACCTCAAATAAAAGGCAATTTAATAAACATTCCATTGATATAATCAGATGTTAAATTGAAAAATTAATGAAGTAAAAATAACAGTTTTTTTTTCTAAAGTTGGGTATGCGAGTCACTACTTCTGCGCATCTTGCGACTCTCTCCACAATTGCCAATCTATGGTTAAAATACTATACAGGGATGCGCCAGAACTCGCGCCCCAGAGAAAAATGCCATATAAGGTAAGATACCAGGAACAAAGAAAAAATGTTAAAAAAAAATTATCTATAAAAATTTCGAAGTTATGAGGGTTTAAAGTTTCCACTTTGACTCTATTTATTTCTGTTGGAAAAACAATTTTTCAAGTTTTTTTGCAATGTTATTTGTGGCTTTTATTGGCAAAATTTTTGCCCCTTAATTAAATAATTGTAAAAAAACATATACAAGATCATCAGTATCATTAAATAGATATAAAAAAAATGTCAAATGTCAAAAAAATAATGTCAAAATTTTTTGACAGTTAGAAATTTTTAAACATTTTTTTCATGTTCCTGGTATCTTACCTTCCTTGAAAATTTTCTCTGGGACGCGAGTTCTGGCGCATCCTGTATATTTACACAAGCTGTAACATAAATCAATGCTAAACCCTCAACAAATAAATTGTCACAAATTCTCTAATTTAAATTTTTTTTAAATTTAACTTTGTGGTTCGAAATTTTTCCGGTGTGTAAAAGTTTTAAGGGTATTTTACCAATGAAGTGCATATTTAGATAATATCCATACCAAAAAAAAATCAACTCCAGACTAATAAAACACCAAAATCTCAGCAAATTTGAAGATATTTTTCTAATTCTAATAATATTTTTTAAATGTGTACACATTTAGTCACATATCCTTCGAAAAAAAATTAAACACCAGATCAATTTAGAGAATAAACGCCAAGATAATAATAAATTTTTACGAATTAACGCTTCTTCAACTTTATTTTTGGGTTTCAAATTCTTACGTGATGGAAAAAGTTTTGGCGGTGACGAACGAATGTACAGGTGTCCCAAAGGTCACGCACCTTAAACTCCATTTTTTTTTCTATCCAAGCTATCAATTTGATTTTTTTTTAACGATAGGCCCGATAATGAAGCATACTCGTATTTCAAAAATATTTCTATTTAATACAGGATATCCCAAAATAAGATACACAACTAAGTTCCGTTTTTTTTTTTTTAAATAAAAACCCCCAACTTTTATTACATTTTTGAATTGTCCACTAAATTGTCGATATAACGCACCTACTTTCTTAGAAGTATTTGCAATAGTTTTTGACTTATGTCAATTTATGTGTCAAAATAGCGTCGTGTATAACCTCACAAAAAAATTCATATATATTAATGTGCATCATGTAGGTTGTAGTAGTCTAAATGAATCATTAACTTAAAGACTGATTTACACAAAAAAATGTCATTAATATGTCATTCAGAACAAATTTAAGCACATTAATAATGACAAAAATCTTTATGTTGAGGTTAGGATTGTTTGAATTTTTGCATGATTGCCACCTTAAAATGAAAACGAGCAACTTCAGAACCATTCAAGATAAGTAATTAATTACCTTTTTTTCAGTCGAATCTTGTGAAATTTGTGTGATTTCTGCAAAATGAGAAATGTTTTTTTCGAAAAAAAAAAATAAATAAAAAATCGCGTATGTCGATGTAAAATTTGACACATCCATACAATTTTGAAAAGAATATGTTACAACAAAAGAAATTGTAATACAGGGTGTTCCGTCTAAACCCCACATTAAAAGTATTGTGTGTTTGAATAATCATATTTATTTGAAAATTGGTACATAGCCATAATTTATTAAGTCCTCCTAAATGAAAATATTTTCAAGATGGCGACACTTCCGGTTATACCGGAAGTCGGTATCAACTTTCTTATTTTAAATAGAAAGCTATATTTTTTACTGCGTTTTTAAATTAATCGGGTTATTTGGATCTCCACCTTCCACTTTAAAAATCGGTAACTCTATTTTTTTAAATTTTGAATTCGTTTTTTTGGGTTATGAAGGTTGCACGTCACCCTGTATATGCACCTAGTTAACGTATTCACCCAAAATAATTCTAACCACAGACCAAAAGTTAAATTTTGCTGAGGTGTGAATTAAGAAAAAAAAATTCATTTCCTTTAGTAATAAGTAAATTTTCTTAAATGTAGTAAGTTCTAATAACTTGTTAGATGGGGCTATAGTTACATTCCCTACTTACTGTCACATTTTCTTAAGAAGCTATTGATTAAATAAATATTTACCATTATTTTAACCTACCATCACGTTCTCTGTCTCTGCTGAATCCTCTTCGTTCCATGTCTGTGTTTTCTTGTCTCGGACCCGACCTCCAGTCTCCAAACGATGACATGTCACTTCTACCACTGCGATCCCGGTTCATGTCCATACGACCTGAACGTCTTTTGTCATTGTCGTAGTCTGAAGCGACGTCGATTCGTATCCGTCTGTTCTTGATCGTCTAATTTTTGTGTTTTTTTTAATATTTTTTTTTCTTAATTATGTATTTTTTTTTAACTTACAGTATCGGGAATAACCAAAGCATTTAATAAACTTTCTCTATCTTCGAATTCTACGTAACCGAAGCCTTTTAATCGGGGCGCTTCGCCGGGCCTTTCATCTTTAGGGATTCGCATGTGAGAAATCTGAAACAAAAATTAAAAACTATCTTAACTTGAATATTAAAAAATAAAAAATAAAAACAATCTACAAATGGCGTTTCCGATAGTGTATATCCGCTCCGGAAGTAATCAAATATCGAAAATTTTAATTTTGAATTAACAATTTGACTTCAATTTTACTGAAACAGAACTCATCATTTTAAATCTATTTCAGTCAATTACGAACAATTTAGCTCGTTTTTTAATCAAAAACTTACTAAATTATCAATTTCACCTAAAATGGTCAGTGTGAATTTAGGTGATTTCAAGCGATTTAACTCAATTTTGAACGAAAAACATCCTTAATTTGAGAGATTTTGCCAAAACAAGCTAGAAAATCCTGGCTCGTTTTTCAGCCAAAAACTAAATTAATTTAGAACATTTTGTTAACAAAATAAAAAAAATCGAAATTTAAGTTAGGTCAGAATTTCAGCCAAAATTCTAAAAACTTCATTAAAAACGTTTTAGTGAAACTACAAAAAACTCATCATTTTAAGTCTATTTCAGACTAGTTTTTGGGGCAAAAATTTATTAAATTAAAGTGATTTTGCTTAAAACGGTCAGAAAATCCAATTCCAAGTATTTAACTCGATTTTGAACCAAAAAATCCTTGATTTAAATAAAAGATTTAGCCAAAACGAGCTATAAAATCCTGGTTTTAGATAAGAATTACGCTCAATTCTAAGCCATTTGCCAGAAATTAACTTAATTCACGGAATTTTGTCAACAAAATAGAAAAAATACATCAAAAATTTCAAAGTTAGGACTGAATTATGCTATTTCAATCAGAATTCTGGGCGATTTAGCTCGTTTTTTGGGCGAAAAATTCGATTGACTCAAAATGAGATTTTGCCCAAATCATTGTTTTGGGTTTAAATTACGCCTTTTTAGTATAAATTCCGATTAATTTAGCTAGTTTTTGAGCCAAAATTTACATAATTTAAGAGATTTTGCTAAAACAGGCCAGAAAA